TGAGCTTAAAGGGCTTTTCCAACCACTGTAATTCTGTGATTCTGTGATGCTATGATTCTATAAGGGATGTCCCCAGTGGAGGAGCATCTGTAAGGTGTCCCATCCCCATCTGGTGAGGACACACAGCAGAACCCAGCTGCAGGAGGGATGTTCCCCACTCTGCTCACCCCAGCTGCCCGAAGGTGATGTTCTCGTTGAAGCGGAGGCTGTCGTCACGCTCCTCCTGCGTCATGTGGCACCACTTCTCCCTGCAAGGCACAAACCCATCTGACACCACCGTCCCCCAGGGACCCCCTGCCTTTATCCCCCATCACCAGGCCACTCTGCCCGAGGACAGGAGGGCACTGAGAGCTCCTCCAGCTGCCAGCATGGGTGAGGTGCTGGATGAGCTCACACACCCTCATCCCATCATGGATCTCTCACCCTGGGGCAACACAAGATACACCCCAGGAAAAAGTCTTCTCCAGCCTTGGCTTTCTCCTGGAGGCCTTGGTGAAGAGCTAGGAAATAGCATCAGCCTCACCACCATGGCTCATGTCTCTCCCCTTTGGTGCCATCACTTCGGCAAGGGGGAGGAGTGATGAAGCAGGGGGGGTTGCAGCTCTTGGGGATGGTTGTCCCAGCACTGCTCTGCCCCAGCCCCCCAGCCTGGATGGGAGGTACCAGGGGGGTACCAGGGACCTCTCCCCCATCCCTCCCTACAACCCCAGTCCAGAGCTGAATTCCCAAATCCCAGCAATGCTCCATCACACTCCAGCTCCATCACAAATCCAACTGCAGCATTGCCTTAAAGGAAGGGCAGGGGTTAAGTTCTAGATGGTTGCAACCAACACGAGGTGGTGGCAGAAGTCCCCATCCAGGTGTCACCAAAATGTCACTGTGATGGTGCAACGCTCGGGTGGTGGCAAGGGCATGCAAGCCAGGGAAACTACAGCTCCAGCATGAAGCCAACCCCCTCCCGAGAACTCAGGTGAGGTTACAGCCAAGGATGAGAGGAGGAAAAGCAAGGAAAAACAGGGATAGGCAGAAGAAAAAACAGGTCTGTGGAGGAGAAGGAAGAGGAGAACAGCAGGAGTGGACTGCACGCTTGTAGCTCACGTTAGCTCGCCAAGCGGGATGGGAGGAGATGGATACGGCGGCTGGGAAGAAGGATGTCTGGCAGTAAATTCGGTGAGGTTAGCTCAGCCCCAGTGCATGTCTGTGCTGCTCAAACTGGAAGAGGATGAGTACTCAATCAAGCTGACCCCACCAAGGGGAACCTGTCCTCACACAAATCAGCCCAGCCTGGGTGTGTGAACACGGCTGAGATGAGTCTCCAGGAGTGAGCTGCCTGTATTTATAGGGCTCTGGAAACTTATATGATATATTTAAAGGGATTAAAAGATAAAAAAGTGTAATTTCTCCCAGATAAAGCTTACAATGGCAAATAAAAACCACATCCAAGTCTGGAGGCTGGAAAGACAGGAGAAGAATCAAATTAAGGGGCTTTGAAATCTGGAAGCAAAACATCACGGATCTCCCTGGCCCACTTACAGAAGCAGCATGATTGTAACTAGGTTTTTGGGCTTTTTTTCCTGCCTTTTTTCATGTTTTTGAGGAAGGGAGGAAAGAGGGAGAAAAATAAAAATAAAAATCAAAGTCCCCAAGAAAAAATCACTGTGATTCTGGCTTGTTATTTGGGAATGACTGGGAAGGGGGAAGCCCAGATGTGGCTCTACTCAAACCCTTTGATCTCTACATCAACACGGTGGGGCAGGAGCAGGGATCTGTAACCCCACAGGCTGTGCTGACACCTTGTCTGTATTTCAGTGGACCTGGGAAAGCCTTGCCATGGCTAAACTGGTGAGAACCACAGCGGTGAGATGGGTTTGGATCACTCAGCATCACTCAACCTTCAGCAGCGGGGTTTTTCCCTGCACAGCCAACCTGGGCAATGTTCCATCTCACCAAAATTCAAGTCATCCATTTGCTGGTGTGTGCAGATTTACTGCCAAGCTTCAGAGAACCTCATCCTCTTGCTAATGCCATCACCTGGAGTCACCTGCTCCAAGATCCAATATCCCATGCTGCAGTAGGAGACCAACGACTCTCCCCACTCCCCCACCCCAGCTCACAGCACTGATGGATGCGGCTGCTTTTGAGATGTGCAACCTGGAGGACACGCTGGTGACCACGCCATGCAACCCCAGTTTGCATTTTTCTTTTTGTCTAGGGATGGCAGCACAAGAATGCATTCAAAAATAAAATAAAATAAAATAGAAGGACCAGCTTTTCCAGCTGGCAAAGGATCCTTGGCACATCTATGTGGCAGCAGAAGCTGGGAACAAGCGGGAAGGACAGGAGAGGGGGATGTTTTCTCCATGAAGAGACTCAGTTCATGTCCTAAACCTGCCTGGAGAAGAGTTCCCAGCACAAGCCCTTGGCTTCTCCAGCAGCTGGGCATCTCATTCCCCCAGTAAAATATTGCAGCTGGAACCTGCTCAGCTTGCTTTTTATAAAAACCACATTAAAGAGGAATGGATCTAAACTTTTCCATCCCTTTTCAGAAGGTGATGCATATGAAGTCAAACCTCTGGTGGCCATTCCTCCCCAATGGAGAAGGACCTTTCTGAGCCCCCCTGACACACATTACCCCACTCCCCAGGGCAGGATTTGGACCTGAAGTGAGCGTCAGCCTCTGGACACTAATGCACCGAGTACGGGGACAGACACACCTCTTCTCCTCTTCCTCCCCAGCGTTCCCTCTGGAGCGGCAGCAGAAACGGGGCCGACAAAAGTGGTGTGTGAAAGATCATGCAAGATAGAGGGATGGAGGGGAAAGGAGAGAAGAAGAGATGGAAGAAGGTTGTTAGAGACAGAGAAAGGAAAGAGAGAGAAAAAGAGGAGTTTAGTTCTGGTTCCTTCCCAACATCCCCTGCCCTCCCCACCCAGAGGAGATAAAACCTCCCTGGTTTTTGCCCCAGCGATGCCCTGGCTCTCCCATGGGGATGGACATGGTCACAAACCCATCACCACTGACCCTGCATGGGCAAACACCATCCTTGGCATTTCAAACCCAGCCCACAGGACACCAGCCCTCACCAACCACCTCCTCCTACCAGGGAGTTTAATCCTTAGTCCAGCAAACAGCATCCCAGTGGCTTCCATTATCCTCTCCAGAGGACTAAAAGGGAGGTCACCACCACCTTCCAACCCCCTCTTGAGATACTCAGAGTACTCCAGGCTGCAGCTCCCACAGCTTGTTCATTAGTTGGGCAGACTCAGGCATCAGATTAATTGAGAAAGGCGCTGGGAGCAGAGAGCAGCTGCCGGTGGGGTTATGTTCTTGGGAGACATCTCCTGCTGCTAATTTGGGGCTTAATCAAAGCAAACGTAGTGACGGTGACACGAGTGTTCGATAGGCACTTCCAGTGGCTCACGTGGAAAAAAAAACCCAAAGCCATAAAGGACCAAGCAGAGATTGATGGGAGTGCTGAGCCTGGCAGAACATCCCATGGTGGGATCCAGGGCTGCCATGGCTGAGCTCAGGTTTTGGGGAGGGGACAGGAGGGTTGGCTGCTTCCAGATGTTCCCTCACTGCTCAAAACAGGAGCTGTTTAAATGTTCCCAGCTCAAGGACTTCTCATCCCAAGAGCTCAAAGAGCTGCATGGATGAGCAGCAGGATGGTCCAGCCTCGGAGGGGTGGAACTGTGGTTGAGAGAGGAGGGAATTGCTCAAACCCTTATGGCAGCTCCATGGTGGAGCAAGAGATGGGCACGAGCCCAGCAAGCATCTCACCCAACATTGCACCCCATGGGGTCCCCATGCCCAGGCACCCAGACACTCCCTTCCCACAGCCACCCTCCAAAATGAGCAGCCCTTTCTCCTTGCAGGGTTTATCCCGATTGTCCCAGCCCTTGGAGCCAACCACGCTGCCATCTCCAGCTCTCATCCTTGGTGGCTGCCCAGGGTTTATCGACAGCCGGGACCCAGGACATCCCCTCTCCATCCACTGCACCTCCCCAAAGGGCTGCACCAAGCATCTTTTCATCTGCAGAGCAAGCACCAAGAGCCTGAACCCTGGATGGGTTCTTCTGGTCACACCTCTAGGGCTTTGCTCTTGCAAAAATGATGCAAAACAAGCAAGAAACCCTTCCTGCTCCTCCTCATCCTCAGAGGATGCAGATCTCACCTGCCCACCCCACAGCCCTGTGGCCCCAGCAGCTTTGCAATCTGGGGTGGAAAGCAGAGCAGATCCCCAGGGTTGGTAATTCTTAAGGACCTCAGGAGCAGGGGGGAATGTCTGGAGTTGGAGGGGACATGGTGTGTCCTTTTCCCATGGGGACATGTCCTACCTGGTGGTGGGGGACCTCTTCCTGCGCTCGCAGTGTACGGCGTCGAAGAAGGCAGCGTTCCAAAACCGCAGGTTGTGCCTATAGGGAAGGAGGGAGATGTTAGGGATGGCCACCTCCTGTATCTCCCGCAGCCTGTCCCCAAGTCCTCCCAGGGCCAAGGAGATGATTCAAGAAGGAAATAAGTGAGTCTGGAGGATTTGGTCCATTTTTGGACCAGCTGCTTGTGTGGTTGCAAACACACTCTCACTAGGGATGTGTAAAAGCCATGGCCACCTCTTAGGGGCAGCAGCAGCTTGAAAGCACTCATGAACATCTGAGGAACATGTGGGCAAGGAGGACAAATCCATTCCCTGTGGAGGCAAACGCTGAGCAGGAGCCAGCTCGCCCCAGGCAGGCTTTACCAGATCGGTTGCTGCTTGAGGTGCATGTACAGGTAGATCTTCTCTCCTTTCTTCTCCTCCTCTGGGCTCTGCACGGAAACTGTGGGGACACACAGTTACATACTGAGGTCTGGATGACTCCAACCTTCCCACCCATGCACAGACTTTGTCCTCATCTTGTCAGCTTGGCAAGGTTTGCAAACCAAATAGTCATCACCAACACATCCTCAACAACATGAAGAGGAGCTTTGGCTGCCCTTTGTGGGCAGATATTAGTTCTGATCAAGGCATGGATGTCCCAGGAGGACACTTGAGAGGCTGGATCTCTGGTTTGGTAGCACACACACAGCTACCAGGTGGGAAACTGATGCAACATGAAAGCTCAGAGGCAGGGGATGCCCAAACCTCTGCAACCTGTGCCACTGAGGACAAGATGCCACCAGATGTCCTTTGTGGGGAGCTGTGATTGCTCCAAAGCAAGGAGCTGTGAAGGCTCCTTTGAAGCACTTCTCTAGGAGCTCAGAGGGGATAGAATTGGTCCTTTCTGCCCCTCTCCCCACCCTACACCTCCAGCAATGCCTTGGCCATCTCATACCACTTCCAACCCTCGCTCCTTCCCCAGGGGTGACTTGGCCATGCCTACTTCAGCAACGCTGGCTCCACTCACCCGTCTTCTTCAGCTTCTCCTTTGGTTTGTCCTCACCTTCGCTGTGGCACAGAAATCAGTGTCAGCTCATGACAGCTCATGCAGGAAAGCCCTGACCCCCCTGCCAAGGGGAGCACCTTCATTTGGAAGACCCCCTTCTCCCATGCCACTGTCACTGAGACCAGAAAGGTGACTAAGAGACTGTGATGTCCATCCCAGTCAGACCCAGTACAGAGATGATGCAGAAGACCACAAAGCAACAGTACCGTCTCCTGGAACCACATAGTTCCATGACCAAGGGACATGGGACTCCCAGACCTTGAGATGCCCAATGACCAAAGTATGAAGCATGGGATCAGGCTAGAGACCATCTTCCTATGGCCATGATAACCCCTGGTTCATGATGGCCATACACCCAGGAGCTTTCTGGCTTGGTCATGTTATGGTTGCCTGCCTCAGCCCACCCTGCCAACCCAACAGAGAGGTACCCACTCGCTCTTTTTGGTGGTAGGACCCTTCAGTTTGGTCTCCAGGCCCCCAAAGAAGCCCTTGACGTTCTCTGTCTTGGCTGATGTGTTTTTCAACAGCCGCTCCGCGATGTCCTTCTTCTCCGCCAGCCAGCTGTTGGCTGACTTCAGGTATGAGTCGATGCTGCCCATGGGCTTCTCCTTGGCCTCCAAGGGCAGAGCATGGGTCTTGCCTGCAGGCAAGGTGACAGGAGTTCAGCTGGCCCCATGGTGCTGGGTGCTGTCAGCAACTGGGGGACCTACTCCCAGCTACAAGATGTACCACGGAGACCAGGAGCCAGATAGAAATGGCCCAGACCCCATCCCATCCCAATTCCTGTAGGTCTTGTCCTTCCTCCCATCTTGGATAGAAAATCCAGCCCCCCCATGGAGGAGTGACCACCACACACCAAGCAACAAGCCAAGGTGCTTTTGGGCTGGGGGATGTTTCACACCACATCCCAGGGTTGGGGAACATCTGGAGATCACCACCTACAAATATCCCTGGTTAGAAGCAATGGCAAACCAGCATCAGCATGAGCTATCACCTGAGTGAGGGTCTCTGGCAGGTTTGCACAGCTTCTGGGCCATGGAGGATCTTTTCTGCTCAGTATTGGAGTCAACCAGAGCAAGCCAAGCTTGGGAACCCCTTCATCACCCTTCCCATGCACAGGGCACACTTCACCACCATTCTCCAGCACAGGCAAAGCCCAAAGGTGCAGGCATCACTTACCCACATAGTAGTAGGTGAAACACATGGTCATGAGGTTCTTGGCAGGGCTGAAGTCATCCATCTGGTGACACCTGACAGAGAGGAAAGATTCAGTGAAGACACCCAGTGATGGCAACCCCAGCAGCCTCATGGTTGCTGCCTCTCCTCGAGCCTTGGCTCTCATCTCAGGGGCTTTCACTGGTTGCAACGAAGCCCCAAACCTCCTTGACTTACTCAAACAGCACGAGGGCAAACGACTGCATCAGGCGGTAGAAGGTCTGCTCCGAGACACACTTGGAGTTGCAGCGCTGCAGGAACAAAGCCCTGGGTTTAGCACAGCTTTGGGGGGCAGCTGCCCTACCTCAGCCCCCCCTAAAGACCACCCCACTGCAGGGAGAGGGGCAGAGAGGACGGACATCCCTCCTGGGGACAGTGGTTTGCTTCTCTGAATGGTTTTTCTAGGAAATAGGATGTTTCTGAGTGCTGATGGGATGTCATCTCCAATAGAACAGTTGACTGCTCTCCCACATTGCAACAAGAAAGTTGGAAGGAGAGGAAATGGCCTCAAGTTGCACCAGGGGAGGTTTAGATGGGTTCTGAGGAAAAACTTCTTCATTGAAAGGGTGGTCAAGCATTGGAACAGGCTGCCCAGGGGGGTGGTGGAGTCACCATCCCTGGTGGGATTTAACAAACAGGTAGACGAGGTGCTGAGTGACATGGTTTAGAGGTGGAATTGGTAATTTTATGGTTGGACTCGATGATCTTGAAGGTCTTTTCCAACCACTACGATCCTAACTGTATATTTAGCTGCCTCAACGTGCCTTTATTCACTTCTGTATCTCCCTGTACCAAAATTCCTTCTTTTTTTTCCCCAAATTCCTGCCCTCCAAAAATATTGCTCTGGGTTATTTGGAACAGGTTGCCCAGGGCAGTGGTGAAGTCCCCATCCCTGGAGGGATTTAAAAGACATGTAGATGTGGCATTTAGGCCCATGGTTTAGTGGGCAGGGTGGTGTTGGGTTGCTGGTTGGACTTGATGATCTTAGAGATCTTTTCCAACCTTAATGACTCTGTGATTCTATGATTCTATTACTAAATTCCCCCAGCCTGAGCCTCCTGTCCTGGCTGCTCCAAAGCCCTGGTAGAAGATCACCACTCCTTCACCCATCTCTCCCCTTACCTGGGCGCTCACGTATCTGGCAAACCACTCCCTGCCCTTCCCGTTCTCGCCGCTGCAGAGCTCACCAAACCTGGCCTTCTCTTCTTGGTCCAAATCCTCTCTGAAATGGGGGGGAAAAGAAAAACCATTGAAGTTGAGGAT